TTTTTAATATAAATTTTAATATAAATTAATAATATAATAAATATATTTTTTAAATTAATTTATATAAATATCGATAAAAATTAATTTATAATTAATTAATTAAAGTTATTTATGCGATAATGATATTAAAATAAAAAATTATTTTTTATTATTTTTTATATGAATTAATTATAAAAAATATATATTTATTATCTTTTTAATATATACTTTTAAAATACAGATAAGATAAATCTAAAAAAAAATATCTAATCATGAGATTATATTTTTTTCAATCTCAAAAAGGAATTTACACAAATTGACACTAGAAAAAAAAAGAAAAATGAGTTCCTGATTTTCTGCAGAACTAAAATCAGAGAGGGAGAGATCTTGACGATATCAGGAGGTTGACATTATTTAATAAGTTTAGTTGTGGAGCTTAGTGCAGTTAATGCGTATAAAACTTTTATTTTTATTATTTTTTAAAAAATTACATTTAACAATATAGCAGGACCGGGTTTATATAAATCCATGGAGTTGAATCAGTGCTGAGGAGATAGAGCGTAAAGGATGGGGAACGCCATAGGAGGACGAAAGACGGTAAAGGTGATGAAAATCGACGGCGAAACATTCAAGTTAAAGACCCCAATTCGAGCATGGGATGTTGTTAAGGATTACCCAGGTCATGTATTACTGGATTCACAGGCGGTGAAGCATTTCGGGATCCGTGCGAAGCCATTGGAGCCGCAGCAGGAGCTACAACCCAAGAAGATATACTTCTTGGTGGAGCTGCCCAAGTTTCCCGATGAGAAGGTGCCGAGGAGGGCCCGTTCTGCTGGGATACAGATGAGCGCCAAGGACCGGCTGGAGTGCTTGATGCTGTCGCGGAGAGCGGTTTCTGACCTTACCGTGGGGCAGTCGGTGCCGGCTCGGAACTCCGGCGGGCTTGAGGAAGAGACTGGCCCGATGAAGGTGAAATTGAGGCTGCCGAAATCCCAGGTGGCGAAGTTGGTCGAGGAGAGCAGAGATGGTGCGGAGGTGGCTGAGAAAATCATTGATCTTTATATGGAAAACTCCGGCGACGTTGAAAACCGTTCCGGCCGGTCACCGGTGGTGAATGGTGGTCTTAGGAGCCCTATCATCAAGACCCATGAGGTATGTTTCTTATCTTTAAGAATTGGTCCAATTAATTATGATGTCCTGTACTTACTTCCTTGCAATTTCTTGTTCATTAATTACTTCAATAATCCCAGCTTCCAATTAATTTGGAAAACTGAGAGCAATCAGATAAGCACGGAAACTGGCTTGAGAATTTATTTTGGTTGAAATTTAAGATCTTGTCCTCCTGCAAACCATAAAAGCTGCAACTTTGTTTAGGTCTGCTCTAGCAACTAGGACCTACAAGTTGGAAACCTAGGATACATATATAAATTAAAAGTTTCTTGGAAATAGATTAGTTTATTTGCACTAGAAGATTGGTCAACTACTTTATAAATTGGTTTCAAAAAAATTTAATTAACTCAACCATTTGCATATTCCATCACTTTCTTTGCCCCCCTCAATCAATATTATAATACTCTAGGGAATGAGAATAATTGAACACAAATCTACTCTGTTGTGTTTTTCTGATAATTACTCAAAAAAAAAAGAAAAAAGAAAAAAGAAAAATTGTACTTAAAGCCCTGCTTCCAAATATTTAAACAATCTATCACTTCTACCTAATGAAATTTTGCATATCATATTTAGAGTGATTGCAGTTTGGTTTTTCTTTTCTCTTGCGTTCTGTGTTATTCATTTGGAGTTATTAAAGATTTGTTTTGTCAAGAGGACCATACCGCATGCATTCCCCATACCAACTGCCCCACATCTCCTAGCTGACCCATTTGAGAGCCTAAGTCTAACCACCAAACCTAAAGGCCCAGTTGTTAGTTATCTAGTTAAGAGTGGAGGGACAAGAAGATGTGGCTGCTAACCTCTTCATGGGCATAGCCGCATAGGAGTTCAGTACCAAAAAGATGAAAATAATCAACGACAGAGGGTGCCCCTAATTGACTTTTAATGTATGGTACATTGTCACGGAACCTTCTTAGTCAAATCATGTTCAGGCACTGCTGGTTTATCCTGATGTAGACAAAAATCTCTGTGGTTAGCCACTAAACTGCTGGTTTCTTATCATCATTCAATCAATTGGATAATCTTAATCACCTTGTCAATGAAAGAAATGGGAGATGATACTTTGAACCTGCAATTGGTATAAAAATTCTAACTGTGCTTCCCTCGAGGATCTGCGGTTAACAATTTTAAAGATTAAAGTGGTAAATAGAAAGAGAGGATTGAGAACAAGACTTCTAAGTTAGTCGTCTTGGTTTCACAAACTAAGAGTCTAAGATGCCTGTTGAGGGGTTAAAAAAAGGGAGAGAGTTGTTCAATTTCCTACTAATGCTGTTGTACATAGCCTTAGATCAGACTCAGCAAGAGGATAAAAACAGGGGAAAAAATTATATGTGCCTATCATTTTTTTTTTTTTTTTGTCTTTTCCTGTATCATGGTCAAGGCCAACCCATGTCCAGTAATTCTTCAACAATAAAAGTAGGCCTTCAAATTTGACATTGTTAAATCATTTCTATTCTTTGGCTTCTTTATCACTGTTCTTGTAGACTAATGTATTTGTCATGTAATAAGTTTTCTACTCCTATCTAACTTATCTATGACCTCCTAGAATATTCAGTGTTTTCCTTGTCCATTCTCAATGATACAAGGGATATTTCAGTACCTGTCTATTTCATTTCAATATAGAATATTTGATGCAATGTTCACACTCTTTTTGTTAAATTAAAATCTGCAGAAGCGAGTGAGTTTTACTTCACCAGAAGACAGGGAAATTCAATTAGCATCTTAATAGCAGCTGATGAAGCAACCAACAACAGTTCAGAAGCAGAACTTTTTTTTTTTTGTTTTTTGGAGTCCCCTTTCTTGCTGCTGTTAGGCAGCATCTGTTTCAAAATGTAACTAGTTATGCAGCTTTCTTTCTCTTACAATACCAGCTATAGCAGAGTTGGGTGGATTGATGTGCCACTGTTTATGTAGTCAGATGTATGAGATAGATATTGTAAATATTGTTTGCCAATGTTAGAGACTGGAAACTTACTGGTGAATGAAATTGAGCATGGAAGCTTCTAAAATTAAAATGTTTATATATATATATATATATATATATACTGTGCTTCTCAAGTTGCCATGATGCATTATTACTTGAGTTCTCTATTTTGCGGTCTGAACTACAAAATATGAAGTATTAAATAGAGGAGAACTTCTAATATTAGGCAACCTGTCACCATTGGTTAAAATTGTGTAATTAGATTGCATAACACTTTTTTTTTTAATTATTATTATTCTAACTTCCAAAATGGGTTCTTGTCTTTGGAGCTTGGGCTTGGGCTTGGGCTTGAGGGTGAAAACTAATTGAGGCTAATTTCTTTTATCACTTGGGCTTGGACTTGAAATTAATTGAAGAATAGGTAAGCAAACTATACGGAGTACTTCAAAAACCCTTTTTACCTTATGTTGATCGTTTTTACATCAACGTAAAGGATTAAGTTGTGATGTTATTTGACACATCAAAAAAGAACAAGTTATAGTGTTTTTACCTGCATGTCTTGTACAATGTAATGTGCCATCAAACTAGTGCTCATGAAATATATGAATTATTATATAGTTATTCGTTTATATCATATCACATTATACACATTGTAATAAGAAAAATAATATAATTGAATCATTAGAAGCCTGAGCCATAGTAGTTGGCACAATGACGTATGAATTAGGGCTTTGCTTCTCAATCACTCATCAATGAGATAGACTCCTTTTTCTCTAACTTTTTGTCATTTCATTTCAATTCTTCAAGACCTCATTATTTTCTAATATTGTGATAGCAACCCTTCTTTTCCAGCTATTTATTGTAAAAAACTGCTGTGTAGAATACATTCTCTATGGAATTCCAACTGTGTGGTCTAGGCTCTACAATATTAATTGAGGAGGCATACTATTTAGACTATTAATTGTTATGTCCTTTTGATATTCGACCATAATGTCCTTAACCACAAAACCACTTGATGTTCTTATTGACATTATTCTTACATCTTCGATCCATGCTTAATTGATTCTGATAATGGTAAGATAAAGTAAATAAAACACTGGAGATAATACAAGATCATATGCGGATGGTGTATAGAACAAAAAGTGACACTATGAAAAGTAGAGAGATAGGGATTGCTTTCTAGATGGGATATTTGAGAGAATTCCCTTGGTTAAAAGAATGGTTCGTTTTGCTTTCAATAGAAAAAGGGTATTTGATCATTTTTGCAAGGGTATATGATTCCTGCCCCTTTTGCATTTGATAGCTGGTAAAGTATGTACTAAAAGCTTTTGCCTGGATGCCCTGTTTTAACCGACTCTGAATAGAACCATTCAATAGTTGTAGTCATCTTCTTCCTTTTTAGTTTTTTATTTTAACTAACTGGACCGAATCTAGTTAGTTATATAAAGAGAATGATTATCCCTAATTATATAGTCTATCATCATATATATCTATTGTAAATGCAATGCAAAACAATATGCTTTATTTTCTCGGCTCCAAATATCATCAGTGGCCAAACCCCAAAAGTTTTTCCATCATATACAGGACATCAGAAGGAATAGATTCTGAGTAACTTGAGCACAAAGGATTCTTGTCATCACTTACTTTTCCAAATGCTCAATGTACAATTCCACATAGAAACCAATCAAAGAACAAAAAAAAAAGACAAACATTTCTAAGACTAATTTTTCCTTTTTCAAAAGAACAAAGATATGGAGATAACAACTAACATCTCTCATGCATGTCTTCCCAAAGTGAAAAGAAAGTTGGCGTAGGGTCCCTTACATTTACAACCTTCACATGGCCTTCGTTTTCATAACCATTCCATACCCAAACCCATTGAATGGGTCTCATAATTTCGCAAGCATCCCAATTTATTGACACAAAAAAAAAATCCTAAAATTTACCAAAACCAGATCACCTCTGTCTCTGCAGACTGCAAATCCGTACCCTCCAGTTAACCATGTCCACCATAAGCCTATCATATCTCGATCCTATGAAAAAGTCTAGAGTACTACAATTATATATTTGACATGGTGTAATAAGATTTTGATAAAAAAAAATAAATAATAGTAAGTAGGGGTCACATTTTTAACTACGTACAGACCTTTCGTGATGGGTTAACGTCACAACATTTTATGAGGTGTCAAATGATTATTGGGTTATTATGTGGAACACCCTCTTTTCTCCCTTTATATTAACTCCCCATCCATCTCTCTATATCTCTCAGCAACAAAATGGTGTTGCGGCTGCTGCATGGACAGATTACTCTCCTACTTTCCATTCTTGTTCTGTTTATTTCATTTCCAAATCCAATCAATGCAGCCTTTCCAAAGAAGCTAGACGAAATAATAGCGGTGCCTCAAGTGCCTGACACTGAAATGAAATGTGGAGAATGTCCTTGTGTGAATCCATGCAGTCAGCAGTCAAAGCCTCCGCCACCACCACCGCCTCCTCCACCGAAGAGCATATATTGTAATCCGCTGGCTCCACCGCCACCACGGTTTGTGTATGTGACTGGTGTTCCAGGGCAGGGTCAGGGTCAGGGTCAGGGTCAGCCGTACCGTACTGATGGAGATGAATGGCGGTTTTACTCGGCTGCTGAACGGAATTTGGTTATGCGTCTATGGAGTTTGCTTGGTTATGGGGTGTTGGGGCTCCTCATGACTTGGTAAGACTTACATTTCGGGCATCAGTGATCTTAATGTACAATTCGTTTAGGTTTTATTATGTTTTATCGATTACGTAGAATAAAATTAATCCATTATGTGAAATCTTAGGAATTCTCAGGTCATCATTATATCAAGACTTCATCAACAAGTAATTAACAGATTTTATTTGCCTGTGTATTTGCTGCAACGTGGTGACTATTGTTCTCTTAATTCCCTTAATAGTTCCATTATTATTATTATTTGTTTTTTATTTTACACCATACAAAAAAATACCATCTTTTTATTTTTAACTTATTTCACCTATATATACTATGAAATTTAAGTTCAATAATTCTTGTGTCTACTAAAAAAAAAAATTATTATTAGACTACTTAGATCATAGACTATTATTTAATACTACAAACAATTAGAATGATTGAAGCTCAAGTAACAAAGTTTGCAAGAAGAAAGCATACATAATATATGTAAACTATTCTGGAAGAGAATTAAAGAAGCCATTGTAAGAGCTGGGCCAGCCAAAGAATAAGTTCTCCAGCAACTTTTGACGGCTACTAAACTCAAATCTTAGCCTCGGTAGTACTCTGTTTTGAGGAACATTCAATCAGCACACTGGATTGGAAATAATTTTATGTTACTTGCATTAATTGAGGTAGTGGATTTTTAATTTTGAGAAAGTCCACAATTAAGGACAAAGATTAAGGTAAACAAGCCATTTTCGTGACCCTCACTGTTCTACCAAAGATCCAAATTGTTTCTTGTATAGTTCTATTCCAATTTCCAAGGCATCCATTCACCCTGATGCAATGGGAGGATTTTGATATGGTGTAGAAAGCAATATATGGTACAAGGAAATATTTGAATATAGAATCACCTTATGAATGGAACAATCGATTCACAATTATTGAAATCAATCAATTCCTTAATTGATTTCTCTTTAATTGACCAACTTACTAATGATGTGATTTTCTTTTCTTTTGCCATAGTATCACTTATTCCATGATTTAATCCTCCTCGTTCTTCTTATCTATTTTTTTATGATGGGATCAATTATCTTACATTCTGATCTTCTTTTTAATTTTGCCCCTTTTATAATAATAATATAATATTAAATAAATAAATATTTATAATATCATATATAATTTTTAAATATAAAAAATAAACTATATGATAATATTTTTAATTATAAAAATTATAATATATACTAAATGATATTATAATTATATAATATTTTTATTATAAAAAGGCATCCATGACAATCGTGCCACTTTGGCGCACATCGATCGGACTAGCTAATCTCAAGTGCGGGTACACCTACTTGACAGTGTCATTTTGACATTTTTGACATCTTGTTAGAGAAGAATGTTATATATATTAAGTTCTTTAACATCTAAAAATCATGTTAGATTTTAACTAGTTTTAAATTAAATTAAATTAGATTTTATAAAGAAAAAATTCTTTTAATATTTTTTTTTCCTATATAAGACTTAAATTTTAATTTTAATTTTAAAAAATTGATATTTTTTTTATTAGAATTAACATATTATTAGTTGTAAGAGAAAAACATCTTCTCATGGTACAAACATCTCACATAAAAAATGGGGTGTAATTATTAATTCTGTTTGTCATCAGTGTTGTATTTAAATACGTGTAAATAATACATTCCTTTATATGGTCTAAGTAGTCACGTTTTTTTATGTAAAAAGAAAGATGGAGCGCAACATATAATTATTAGTTCAATTCTTCGATTGATACTCGAGCATATATTAACTTACTAACTATGTTTCCTATAGTAAAAAAGAAAAAAAAAAAGTGTGAATAGTCCCTTAACAATGAGATTGTCTCCCATTCTCATGTATATTATTTCTCCATGTCACACCCAATTGTAAGCAAATTCACAAATGTAAAGCTTGCAAAGTTGCAATTTCATAGTTTATATAAGGAGCTTAACAAAAATTAAAAAATAGGATGGTCCTACTATACCACTCCCTAGTTCTTAACATTTTCCGAGTTATTATTCCATTCCCTCAAAAAGCCGAAGGGACCAATTTCTAGTGTTAAAGGCAGCATGTAAAGATTGCTTTTCTCCCATTTTTTCATATAATAATTGTAATAATTCAGTTATCATAGCATTTCAATAGCTCACCACACGTACCATACCCTCTCCTACTTAAGCCTCCTCTCGTCTTTTTCCAAACCCCATATTCACACCATGGCCAAAAAAGTCCCCCCAAAAATCTCCTCCCTAATCTTGTTCATTGTGTTTTTGAGTTTTCCGGGGACCTCCTCGCCACAATCTACAACGCCGGGCCAAAGTGAAATACTATATTTTTCTCCACTGCCACCTCTTCCTGTGTGTACCTACCCTTGTCTTCCCCCACCAATACCAACCAACAATTGCCCTCCACCGCCTGCTTCACCGGAACTGCCACAACCACCTCCATTTCCAGTGCCTCTGCCACCAGGAACGTTACCGCCATGGGTATTTGCTGCTCCGCCTCCCCCAAACCCAATACTACCGTATTTTCCATGGTACTATAAGTATCCTCCTCCCCCTCCGGACTTCTCCTCCGCAATGTGCCTCAGGAGAACCATGGTGATGCTCTCATGCATTGTTTTGTCCGTGTTATTTTCCTTGTCTTTGTAGGTACAGGAATTATATAAACTTGTCTTTAAGATATTATTATGAACAAGTTGTTGTAGGAATCAACCATGGTCGTTATTCAATTAGAATTTAGAAATTCATTTTCTTAATTATCATTTCATAATGGCACTACATGCCGTCTTTTTTTTTTTTTTCTTTTATTATTGGTTGCATAACAAAAGGTAATTCTCTTTCATCTCTTATCTCACTTCATCCACATGTCATGTGACTCGAATTCAAGACTCTTTACTTTCCACTAAAGGAAATTATCATTGAGTTACTTAGGTAATTGGCTACATGCAATCTCTTTTCACAATTATAATTATGAATTGATGCACCAAAAAAGTTATCTTTGTTATATAATTTATTATCAGATATACTAAAATAAATCATATACACATACCAGGTTTTAATCTTTTTTTCTCAAAAAGAGAAAAAAAA